GATAATCCCAATGGTGCTAGTGCCATTTGATTTTCCATAGTCGAGCTGCTGGAAAGGATTGTGTTGCTGTTGTTGTTGTTGTTGCTGTTGCTACTGTTACTATTTGGACTATTATTCAGCGCGCTGTTGTTGTCGTGAGTATTCGGTGCTGCTGACGCTGCCGCCGGTGACGGAGTGGTCGATGCAGAGGACGAGTTCGAGTGCGACGAGGATTCGTTGACCGTATTTACTGCCGCGCTAGCTACCGCGGCTGTTTGTGCTGCTGCAGCACTGGTCGGTGTACCTACCGCTGTTGTTGTTGTACTCGGTGTGACTGTGGACGTCGATGTTAACGGTGTATTGCTCCTGCTTAGCGTACCGGTGATAGTTGTGCTAGCAGGCGTCGAACTGTTAGCGAGCAAATGCTGTTGCGCCTGTTGCTGTTGCTGTTGCGCCTGTTGCTGTTGCTGTTGCGCCTGTTGTTGCTGCTGATGCAGTTGTTGACGCAGTGACTGTTGTTGTTGTTGCTGGAACGCGTGCTGTTGATTCAGCGCGTGTTGGGTGTGGTGTAGGTGATGATGTTGCTGTTGTTGCAGGACGACGTGCTGCTGATGGGCGGCGGCAGCAACGGCAGCCGCAGCGGCCGGTGACAGTGAATGTGAAGCGGCTGCTACTGAATGTAGGTGCTGATTGAGGAGGGCGGCGGCCGAAGGATTGAAGTGCTGAGCGGCGACGGCGATACGTTGCTGCTGGGCTGCGGCGGCGGCAGCAGCTGCGGCAGCGACCTGTGAGTGGTGGTGCGGATGTGAGTTAACTGAGGCAGTGGCGGCGTACTGGGCAGCAGCGGCAGCAGCGGCGGGATTGAAGGTCAACTGATGGCCTGCCTTGAAGGCGACTGCGGCGGCTGGTGTTGTGGCGTACTGAATCTGTGGTGTCAGTTGGGCAGCGGCGGGTATGACCGAGACGGCGGTGGCGCACTGTCGCTTTGGCGATAACACCTGTGGGGCACTCGCTGGCGTTTGCGGCAGCGTTGGCCTGCGTTTAATCGCAATCGACGAAATGGTGATGGCTTTTTTGAGAACGTTTATCTGGGGTAGTGATGTTGTGTCGTTTGCGTTTGTGTGTGTGCCAGTCTTCCCAAGCTCACGTTCTTATACTTCAGTTGAGACTGCTGCTAATGCGTTTTTCTATCAATCGTTTCGCTTTATGAAAAACGAATCTGTTTCGTGGAAAATTTTAGAGTTTCTTAGCTGTTCGAACATGTGAGAGCTCAGTGATTCTGTAAGGAGAAGAAAAAGTTGTATCCAGTTATTTGGTGAAAACACATTAATTTGCATTATATAATCAACTAACTTAAATTTCAAAAGCGTTTAAACACCTTATATGTGCATATATATTCAGCATTTAACGACGATCTAAGCAAAACTCGCAGATTTATACGCCCCTCTTAAAATAGCATTACGCAAAATGCAAACACAAACAGATTTCAGAAATAGATATTTTACTGATCCCCTTGTGCACATCCCTACCCAATGCTCTTATGCCTTCGAGCCTCCTCTTATTTCGATAATATAATCGTAGTGATTTCCTAGACCAACCTACAGCAAACGATTCTGCACTGTATTTAGGCGCGGCATCCTTTTGCTAATACTAATCGCCTGAGATTATTATACCTACCGCAATGAAGAAGCACTTTTCGTGGCGGCATTCAATTTATCAAAGCTTATGAATTTTCCATTGTCAATTGTAAAGCATTTACCGTATTAATAAAAGAAATAAGAGTATTATGGAAGCATAAATTGAAGAATAGATGCATCTTTGTGAGCACGAAAATTTACATATATTTACACATACATATGTACATATGTATGTACATATTTCGATTCAAAATATTACGTTGGGCGTAAGAATATCGAATTTTACTACGGGATGCGTTAGTTAAAGCAAAAAAGTATAAAATTCCTTTGGCGCTTAATAAAGTTTACGGGTAGCTAAATCCTTGAATGTGAAGATCTAATGCTATTTAAGTGGTTAAAAATGTTTTAATAGTAGATGAAAGGATATATCGAAGTAGCGTTACAGTATTCGTCCTAAAAAGTGCTTGGTTTAGAAAGTTATGCATAAATTTAAATTCAATTTAGTTTATACGATATTTTCGTTCCTCCGTATACCGGGTTTGTAATGGTTGGATTTAACACGGCCGCTGTGGTGTAGTGGTAAGCAGTGCGTGCTTCCACTCCGCAGGGTCTGGGTTCAAGACCTAGTCAAAGCAACATCGCAAAACATGTTGAATAAAAAAGGTTTTTTTCTCCACAGCGGTCGCCCCTCGGCAGGCAACAGCAAACCTCTGAGTGTATTTCTGCCATGAAAGACAGCTTCTCATAAAAATACAATCGCCCTTCGGAGTCGGCGTCAAACTGTATGTCCCTCTCCTTTTTGAGACAACATCAAGGCGCATGCCACCAATCGGAGGAGAAGCTCGGCCAACCACTAGCATATTGTGTAAGCGCCAATCTATTATTATTATTATTACATAGATATCGAGAGGGATTAGAGCAGACCTGGGCGGCACCTGCCCGGCGGGCAACTGCGCCGTGTAATCGCGTACACATACACGCTCTGCTTGGGAAGACAGCGAAAGCTTCATTCAACTGCACGACTGGTTCTCACGCACACAGTGAAATCAATTGCACGCACACTACAAAAATGCTCTGCCGAAGCTGCCCACATCTGGATTAGAGCCTCACGTATGTTCATATGTAAGTGTATATCTTTCCATAACTTTTTATTAAAAATGTGTAATTTTTTTATGCTTAGAACTTTCTGTAAAAAGTAGTCTTATGTGCATATGAGCAAATCTTGCATATATTTTAATTATTGGAGTTCCAGAAACAAGCAAATAAAAAATAAATCAAGTATTTGAACAATGAGGATGGTTTCGTGCGCAGAAGTGGAAAACATTTGATTGAAATTCACCTGGGACTGGCCAGAAGTGATTCTTGTGCGTACGGTACAAATCGCAGCTCACAACGTCCGGATATATATGCCACCGTATCCTCTTGGTAGCAACCAAACGACCGTTTGGGAGCGAGCTAAAGTGAGAAGAACTTCGCGTGCGCTGGGTTGTGTCCCGCCAAGTTAAAAGCCTGCCCAATGAAAAAGTTCAGAAAGCCTCGGACGAGACCCCCTTGTTTTTGATGACGACCACGGAAAACGTATAAAGGACTATGATTTCAGGGTATGCACCTTGAATATCCGGACCCTTAATAGAGAAGGTGCCTCTGCCCGGATGGTTGATCCAAGAAATGCGATGGACGGGGCAAGACAAGATAAGCGTCGGTATTGGATTCGTGGTAGGAGAGAGACTCCGCCGCCAAGTATAGACGTTCGTTCACCCCGGTGGTCGAACGTCTAGTCATAATCCGCATCAAAGCAAGATTCTTCAACATCTCGCTCATCTGCGTCCATGCCCGACGAAAGAGAAGGACGAGGCGGCCAAGGATCTCTTCTATGGGCGCTTGGAGCATACATATGAGCGCTTCCCCCAACACGATATAAAAATTGTGCTAGGCGATTTTTATGCCAAGGTGGGCAAGGAAGGGGTCTTTGGCGCCACTGTAGGAAAATTCAGCCTTCACGACGAAACGTCCGATAACGGACTAAGGTTGATCGACTTCGCCGAGGCCCGAAACATGGTAATATGTAGTACTAGGTATCTTCGAAAATAATTTGTTATATGAATTTCCGCGAAAGAGCATATCGACGATATCTTGGCAAAACCTTGTATATCAAAACATTTTCCAACAAAAAGCCTTTTATTAATAACAGAAAATCATTTTTAATCATTTTTTTACTGAATATGAAAGAGTAAGTACTTTTTAGTTAATTAAGCCGATAGCCGTGGAAACTTGTGCTTAACTGTTACTTTATAATTTTAATTGTAAATAACAATAAATAATAATAATAATAGTAGTTCTTTATGAAACATTTTTAATGAAGTACTTTAAGGCCTATTTTGAATTATTTCTACGAGATATGAAGTAGTATTGACTTCTGAGATACGAGGTTTTGCCGAAGTACCGTCGATATCTAACGCCTGCTGTTGACATCCAATTTGCATTTGGCATTGACAGGTTTAGTATACTTAGCGCGTTAATGATGTCCTTCCAACAACGTATCACTACATTTATGCACAGACTACATACATATGTACATATATGTATTTTGATTATGGGACCCAAGTGTTCTTGAATACATAAATACATAAGGGCGGGTCAATTTTTTCGACTATAGGCGTTTATCATAGGAGGCTTCTACGTGTAGTTCTAAGCGAATTTGCAGAAGACACCATTGGTCTGAAATCAATGTGGAGTTTGCCAAATTGCGAAAATAGGTTTCTTTCACTTAGCATTTTGCTGTAGGGTCGTAAATTTTGTAAAAAAAAAAATGCTATAAGGGGTTTTTTGGTAAGAGAAAACCCCTTTATGGACCTATCTTTTTTTTTTTAATTTCCGCCAGAGGGCGGAACAGTGAGAATTTTCACATTTTCTGACGTGGTAAAACAAAACAGCGTATATTTTACTTATCCTTTGAAAAAAAATTTTCAAACAACTAAAATTCAATACAAACTAAATACATACATGTATGTAGGTATGTATGTACATTATACTGCATCACCCAAAACGTTCAGGTTTTTCCGCCGGGATTACAAAATTGATTATATTTGAAGACTTCCACCAAAATATGTTGAATTGATATGAAAAGTAATATATGTATGTATGTATGTGGGTATATGAATAACGACCGCTTAAAATCGATTTCAAAGTTCTACTTTCGGTGTAGAAATTTTAGGTCTACGTTATGTAGTTTGACTATTGTCAATTAAATCGAATGCTTTGTATTGCATGCGCTCCACGTTTTTCATTTTCAATTTCATAGATTGTTTATAATGACTTTTGCTAAAATTTCAAAATCAAAAGTTATCAAAACAAATTCTATGGGACTGAGAAATATTATTTTCTACTTTTTAGTCCATTTATAAAAGCGTTGTATATTAAAAAGTTTTTTTTATATTATTTTATATCTGAAAAAAAAGCTAATTTAAGCACATCTTTATGCCACTACAGCAATATGCTGGGTAAAATAAACTTATTTTCGCAATTAGACAAACTTTAAATTGATGTTAGACCGATGGTTTCTTTTAAAAATTTGTTTAGAATTTCACGCAGAATTCTCATATGCTATACGCCTATTGTCGAAAAAATCTCCCATACAAATTGACCCGCCCTAACATATATGTATGTATACTCATATCCTCAATTATGTGCCAATATATCTGTATCACTTTTTATAGTCAACATCATTATAATACGAGTGTGTACATAAAAAAAAAAATGATTTTTTTCTCTTAGGTAACATAAGTAAATACATACTGTGGCCTGAATAAAAGATTGTCGTAAGTGATATTTTGACGATTTTTCGTTATAGATGCAGTCATATATTTCCAAATAAGATCTTTCGATTGATCTCTTCAGTGTTTGGATATCTCTCTCAGTTTTCGAGATATTGACTAAAACTTTATCAGTAAATTAATACAAACTGAATTAATAATGCAGTCATACTAAACTAATCAAGATCTTCCAAATGGAGCTATCCATTTTTGGATACCTTCTTTAGTTATATTGAGTAAAAAGTATCGCTAACTTAAACGGTTGAGGCTATGTTCCAGGTAATCTTAGAGGCGATTAGTTGAATCAAAAGTTAGCTAGCCCCCAATTTTATTGGAAGCGATTAGTTGAACGGCCGTTCGCACCAGACGATTGTTGCTTTCAACTAAAGGTTGCCTGTAAAATCGCCTCATGTAAACAGCGTATTAGTAAAAACTGTTATCATACAAAGTAGCTACAAAATTGTTGACAAATGTAATATACTACAAAATTTTACTAACGAAAATTCTTAAGCAATAAAAACAAAATAATTCAAAAATCTTTCGATCTTGTAACAATTTCCGAGATGTATAGTGTAAGATCCGAATAAGGCACGACCTTCAACCATCTGTTTAATGGATGAAATCTATTTTGTATGAAATTTAACGGAAATATTTCACGAGTGGATTGGCTGAAAAAGTCCTGGCAAGGATATTTTTAATTAAATACTAAAAAATTTTCTTTTTTTCGTGAATATTATTGTGGCTTATTAACATTTTATTTTATATATATAACTTAATTTGAAATTGTCTGAACTTAAATTGTGAATTTCTGAGTTGGAAATGGATATTTCTGAAAATGAATTGTAACTTTCTAAATTTGAAATGAAAGTTTCTGAATTTGAAATGGAAATTCTGAATTTGAAATGGAAATTCTGAATTTGAAATGTAGTTTTCTGAATTTGAAATGACACTTTTTTGACTTGCAGCTTTCTGAATTTAAAATGGAAATTCAAAATTTGAATTGTAACTCTCTGAATTTAAAATGAAAATTCTGAATTTGAAATGGGAGCTCTGAACTTAAATTGTAACTTTCTGTATTTAAAATGCAACTTTCTGAACTAAAACTGAAAAAGGTTTAAGTAGTAATTTTCGCTCATCTGCTTAACACATTATATAGGCTTTATGTTTTCGATTAGTATATATGTAATTTGTGCATTAAACAAATGAGTGAAAAAAAATAAAAATATTTATTTTTGAATATTTAATTAAAAATATCCTGGCCAAGATTTTTGCAGCCAAGCCACTCGGGGAATATTTCCCGTTAAATTTCACACAAAGAAGATTTCATCCATTAAACATATGGGTGAAGGTCGTACCTTATTCGGATCTTCTACTATTAGCAGAAAATCTATTGTCGCGTTTTAGAGAAATTGCACCTAAACTTCAATCGTGATTTCCCAAAATCTGTCGAAAGTAACATACGACAATATTTTATCCAACCAACGATATTCGGACATACATATGCACGTACGAACATGCATACATACTAAATTTGCGTAGTCTTGTCAATGCACTCGTCAGCTAGAAATCATCAGCTCCATTGCTTTCAGGTCCGCTCCTCCCCACACAATGCTTTATCACTGATATTAGCATGATTTTGCATATTACATTATGCAAACTACATATATAGTATGCATACATATACGTATGTATACTTTTTTTATGTTTCTTCTTTATTGTAGGTAGTCTTTCTACTCATAAATTAAACTTTGAGTACGCTTGCTGGCGGTTGGAAAACGATAATCCCTCTGGCTCAAATAGACATATATCTATATTCTACTTAATACTTATGTATTTATGTACATATGTATATGTCCATGTAAATGCGTACTTCCACTTTGAACTACTCGTATCCACAGCTCAATAGCATATCGGTTAGGCTTTCATCATCCTATCCGTCATCAGTAATGAGGATGCTGTGGAGAAGGCCATGCATACTCGTATTTTGTTAAACCTCGCTTTAATGAAATTCCAACTTATTGTCATGCGCCGATTGCATATGAACTCATTGTTTTCATTACAGAGTTTTTAACTTTAGTTTAAACCAACGGGACAATATGTTGTTGCTGTGCTTAGGTCGAGCAGCAATGCACCCCAACGGCAACCTTGAACACTCTGTACTTTACGCGCTCTAAATGTATTCAGTGTTTCGACGAACTTTTCGTATTTTCTTTTATGTAAAGTTTGCACATATTCAAATTTGACGAATATTTTCCATTCATTCACAGTAAAATTTTAAGCGAATTAAATATTAGGGGTATACATATGTACATCCTTACATCTGACGTCACAAACTGCTGATAAACGTGAAAAAGTTATAAATTTTTATGGAATTTATAATTGTACTATCAGACCCGGCGAACTTCGTCTTGCCCAAAACTATTTTTTTTTTTAATGAAACATTTTTTTTCCAACATTTTCACCAGCAATTCACGATAACGATTTCCACTGTAACATTTATATGCCAATATTACAATTTGGTGGTTGTCAGAAGGCATATATCTATTGCCATCTTGATACTTTGTCTACCGGCCGGGTCCAAGGAGCCGAAAGAGATTATATTCTGTTTCCATATCAATGTCTGATACTTTTGAGCTCCGTAATTTCTTTACTTTCCCTAATTTCATGTAGTCTATACATTTTTGATCATGATAGTTGTTTTCTTAAATAATTGGTATTGCTATTGTAAATCTAGCGGGAACTACCAGCCCGAGCTCGTTAGACACATTATTATTAGTTACACAGGGGTCCAATAGACATGAATGGTGGGAGACACTAGTTTTTTCCACGGTAGACAAGGAGTTAAATAACCTAACGAAAGTGTAGTTCTTGAAATCATCCAATGTTTTACCGTTTAACAGCACGGTTAATTTGAAAAACTTTTTCTTTTTCAATTTCTGGCGACAACGATGATTGGGTCATTGAACCTGTATAGTCTATTTGGTGGCAATTTTAAAATGGGTGAGTATCGTTGTTCTACAGAAATCCAATACACATAGACTCATTTCAGATGATTTTCAGTTTATTTAACGGAGGTTATTTGAGACTGACCATCCTGGTGACTCCGAATGAGGCTTTAACGCACAATAATATTGGAAATTTACATTCATTGGGCCAATGGAATACACGAGACTTCGACATAATCGGTGCTAAGGCAAGTCGATATAATCGGACATTCACTGATTTTTTTCTGACTTGACGATTTTTAGTAATAACTCGACTCCCAAGCCACTTGGCGGGCAAATTTCCCTTTACGATACAATTACATATAAGACAAATTTGATCGTAAAGAAGATTTTTAGTAAAAACTTTACTCTAACGCCATCTGGCGGGTTAAACTGTAAATCTAAGCTATCCGAGAGACCCACTGAAATACACACAAAAAATTTGGTTAAAACCGGTTCGATCACAACACCCGTACAGAAGAATCTTATATAATACAAAGATATGTAAAAGTTTGAGTGCGTTTGGAAGGCTACACGCCCCCTTTTCAAATAGCCCCAATTTCCTCTATGGTATGCGATTGATTTCATATATCTCCATACCAAGTTCCGGCACTCTGCCATGAACACTTCCAGAGATATGCAGAATAAAAAATTCGGTTTGAATGGGAGGTGCTACGCACTACGCAC